CCTACAACCAAGTACTCCTTTACCCAGCAGCTAGTTGTCCAGAGCGCATAGAGCGCTGAAAGGGCGCCAACACTAAAAACAAAAAGCGCAAACTGTTGTAGGCCGTGGCTCGTGGCGCTGACACTGTGACCGAAATACACGAACTGCGTACTTTGGTTGGCGGTACAGCCTTGGAGATCGGAAGGAAGCCCAAACGTTTGAACGTTTGCCCATACTTGGAGACCCCAGTAGCACCAGAACGAAGTGAAAATCAGACTTGCGATGTTGATAGACAGGCCGAGGGCACGAATCTACGAGATTGTTAGCGCTCCGTGCGAGCGATCCAGCGTGAGCAGGACTCACATATGGTCCGTTGACGGTTACAAAGGCCGTCATGAGAGTCGTGAGCTGCATAAATTGTAAAGTTAGAAAACGGCGAAACATTGTGTCGTAGAAACTTGCCATGGACGTAATAAGCGCGTCGAATAGACTCAGTTGATCCGTCTTCCAAGCAGCGAGCGTAGCCATGATAAGACTCCCAGACACGATATACGAGTTTCGACAGGTATCGCGAAACGCCTTTTCGTTATCCCATAAGAAAGATGCTACACACTAAGTGTTAAGCCGTTAGTGCATGATAATCCGACGACTTCGCGAGCACCTACCATGCTGAGGAACGTTTGCACGTAGATGGCCAATCTGACCTGGTTGATATGAGTTAGGCTACGAGTTTCGGAGCGAAATGAGTGTAGCTTACGCCTTTCCCCTTTAGTAATTAGACTAGATCGTCAGTTCAGGCTTTGGGGAGAGTTAACGCGACTCACGGATATATCAGGATTGGATGTTATCTGCATGCAGTAGTCGGTAACATCGTCGGCGCTGCACGACATATAGATGAAACTGTGAATAGTCGAAGGGTATAACTAGAACGAGACCGGGCGGAAAAGAGAGCAACAAGCTATTGCGGCAAGCATAGCGTGTATACCGTAGTTATATCTTGCAAGAACTGGGACAGTAAAAGTGACAGGCGGCGACCGATGTGTCTGTGAACTCAGGCGCTGGCAACGAGTCCCTTTCGTGACCGAAAAAGGAAACTCTTAAGGCCGGAAAAACAACAAAGGCCGAGGTGTGAGCGATTGAAATAGGATTCAGTCGAGTGAGGTGGTCAAGTTTGGGATACATAAAGCGTCAAGATCAAGGTTCGAACCAACTTTGGGGGGCAAGCGCTTGTTTGATAGATAAGCTATTTCGTGATCAAAACGTGACAGACATGAATTTACAGCAAGGGTAGCACACATAACAGAATCAAGCAGACGATGATGCCTACGGGCCCAAGTTACGGGCATTATACCGCTTATCTGCCTGGATTTGCTCGTGCCTGTACCAGACATACTCCTTAAAGTATGAAAAACAGTCCATGATTTGCTGCCCAAGCATAATCAACGCGATCGTTTGACCGTAGGTCCACTCATCCAGGTCCTCTTTTACACCTGGATTACGCCGGACGATTTGCTCGGTGGTAACAATCATATAGATCATACCCACCATACCACCGTAGCGAGTGACATGTTCAGCGCGGCTAGAGGTGCCTAGTATGAATCGTGTCAAACAAAGTATAGGAAAGCGATAAAGGCACGTACGTTTGCCCCTGTTCTTCCGCTTGATCTCTTTAGCATACCGCATGGCCGCATTACTCTTTGCGATTTCTGGATCCCCGACGAGGTACCTGATCGTCCAGGAGAAGGTACTCCATAGCGCCGACAGTGCGGAGATGGCGCCAATAGCGAATATAAAAATCGCAAACCCGCGCAGTCCACGACTAGTAGCACCAACCGTGTGCCCAAACACGACGAATACGGTATCCTGGTTGGCAGTGCAGTCCGTTCGGCCCGCGGGGAGACCAAAGCTCCATGGGTCTGACCATATCTGAAGACCCCAGTAGCACCAGAACGTGGTGAACACCAAACTAGCGATGTTGATCGAAAGCCCCAGAGTACGGATCTGGCAATTTGTAAGTGCCAGGTAGAACAAGCCTCAAAGATGTAAACGCACATAGGGACCGTTGACCGTCACAAACGCTGTCATAATAGTCGTGAGCTGTGTGAACCATGTTAGTTGGCGCCATGACACTCTAGCGCCGGCATACCATGGTAGTCACAAGCCCATCGAACAGACTCAGCCCTTTTGTCTTCCACGTAATTAGGGAAGCAATGATCAAGCTCCCGGACACTACATACGAGTTTCTTGATGTATCTCGAAACGCTTTCTCGTGGTGGGGCAACCAAGACGCAATCATCTGTGTTTAGGGATCAAAAAAACCAGTCAAGTCAGACCATGTCTAACCCACCATGCTGATAAAAGTCTGAGCATAGATGGCGACTCGAACCTAGGTGGCAAGTTAGACACGCGCCTCTTGGCTACACATATACAGTCTCACTTACTCCTATTCCCTGGGGCAATCAACAACATGAGTGTTTGGTTAACGCCTCGTGTGAAATGATACTCACCGAGATATCTGGATTAGCTTTAATTCCGTTACAGAAAGCATTAATATCGTCCGGCTCCACCGAGCAAAAACTAGGGTTGGACATTGTGCGGTGAGGGTAAGCGAGATTGCCGCATTGAGACTGTCCTTTATGGTTGAGGCCACGCCAATTAAGCGCTCAAGGTACTGCCTTGGACAAGCGCTGTCGGTTTCGTATTTATGATTGCAAATAAAGTAGCGCTGTGCACGTATCGGGACTTATAGAGGACCTAGATTTTTTTGGCCTCATTAATGACTACTGTATCTTCTGACTCCCGCTTAACTCAGTGGCAGAACTTGGCATTGGTAAGTCTAACGCTTCGCTGCTTGCTATGCTTCTACGCCACACGCAACATACTTGACTATATGTTGGATGGTACTTGTACACCCATTTCAAGGAGAGGGTTCCGAGACTTGCTTGATGTTCAGAGACGAATCGCCTTACCACCGCTGTAAGAGCTACAGTAGTATACGCTCTGAGCCGTGGCATCCCTATCCGAAGAAAAAGCGCCGTGGCAGATGAAGAACCATTAGTTGGGTCAGCTGAAGGCGTAAAACGTCTTGTGTGGCCAGGTGGTGCAGGTGCTGGGTGACTTTAGGCTTCAAAAATGAGGAAGTTCTGGCACTTTGAGGACGAGATTCGATGAGGTCTAGGCGAAGGATGGAGCGTATCACGCGTAGAGAGAGAACGAGAGGCAGCAGCGACTGACAGGTTTGCCGATGTTTACATCGGCGACGAAGGGTACCCTAACCTTCTTCTCAACTTTTTTAACGACCTGTTCTGGATTACACATGCTATCACGCCTTTTGAATGAGGCTTAGCATGAATGCAGCTTGTTATTTTCAGGTTTGGCTAGATTTTGTAGTACCGGGAGATTGAGTTAGTTGGCGCATACAAGCAGCAAGGGCGCCACGCAGATTCGTGGGGTGTAAGAAGCAAAGTTTAGTTACTGTAAGCTGATAAACCAAAATACTGAGCCATCTCCTGGATTTGCCAATAACTCCCTCTTAGCTCAGTGGTAGAGCGCGTCACTAGTAACTAGCTCGTGCAGAGTGGTTACGTAATGACGAGGTCATCTGTTCGATCCAGGTAGCGGGAACTCCTTTTGCGACTCTTTTGGGTTACTGTAGCTCCAGACACACGTCCTAGGCGTTGAGAACGCAAGTACGGAGGTTGGATATCTTCGTGGAGATAAACCAGCTCAGAGCCACTTCATACTACCACTTTATTAGGGTCAAATTAATCATAGAATTTGCCTGTATTTATGCTTGAATTTAATGGCCCACATAAGAGGAGTAATAGCTGAACTCTCCTCCGTGGCGCCTACCAGGCGCTTAACGTCGCTCCAGCTTGTGCAACGCTTCAATTAGGCTACCAGCGATTCAAAAATAACAAGCTGACCAAGAGCCTCATACAAAAGCTACATAATCTAAGTTGCCATGAGCGGTACCTGTCTACTCCCGCTGAAACTGATTACTCCGGGAACGTCACTCCAACCCAAGAGCCCAGCGCTTACGGCTCCATCTGCTCGTTCCACCCACCACCACTACCATGTACAAACGAATCAATAAGCGCGTTCAGAAAAGAGAAAAGGAAGAAGTTATGGGAGATGACGAGGAGACGAGGGAAACTATCGGGATGCACGACTCGGACGAGTCTGATTCGGGTTCTAGCTCCGACAGCTCTCGGGGCTCGGACGATGGTTCTCGGGAGCCTTTTGAAGTCGAGCCGGAAGAAGAAACTGGCAACGATGACGGATCCGAGGACGATGCCGATGAGCCTCCAATGACAGTGGTTCAGGCTTTATCTAATCCCTTGTACCCAGCACAAGGCGCTGGTGTCAAGGCGTGCATACTGTGTCCGGGAAAGGAGCTTAAACATGACCAGATGGTTTCGGTCCATGTAGCCTCTTCAGTAAGTCAGTCGGCACCTCACATATTATTCACTAAACACAAAACTAGACACACCTGCGAAGAGCGAAACGCTTTGCTACTCTGGCAGCTCGCGTCGGAGATGATAACGAAGACCCAAGACTATTGGTTGCTGCCTTGGGCGAATCTGTAAAGATTGC